AATTAAATATTTTTATATATATATATGTTATTTAATATGCATGTGTGCACGCATGCATACGCATATATGCTTATAGGTATATATACATGTGCGCGTGCAGGGGCAGTCCTAGCATGGGACTCGATAAACGGTGCGTGACGAATCTTTTAATGATTAAATAGTACAATGTACATGATTTTACTGTCGTTGTTTCTCACGTCCGTTTTCAGACTCGCACATGGACACACATATATATACATATCTGCACATGCATAAGTCGTCAAAATAGCCAAGGGTCGTCGAAATAGCCAATGGTTACGAAAAATCGTCGTCAAAGTATACGATTGACATATACATATATATATGTGTACATATATTCGTACAATTTATAAGTACAGGCGCGAGTGCCCGCTAACGAATAGGTGTATATGTTATAAACTATATTTATGTCCTATATCTATGTATATCGGTTGCGCGGTTGCAGCTTTCCTGCCCGTGTCTTTTGCGAGATTGTAGAAATTATTCGAAATTTTGTTATTTGATAAGAGGCGATTAGCTCGTTCGCTGGTAAGGCTGGAGTCGATTTTTCTGAGTTAAGGTAAGTATAAGTTTTTAGTATGTTATATATATATATAAATTGTTAAGTTCGTTAAGGTTTTGCGAGGCTATTCACAATGGTGGAATAGTGAACCGATAGATAATTCTCGCGAGAAACGGAGTTATTACCAGTGAGCGAGTTAACGATAATCCGTGGTAATATAAAGTGTTTTAATTAGAATGTTGCATGGAAATGAGTCTCATGCAACTTTGGGAGTTTTGTATGAGATGTACTTATATAAAGCATACCTCATGCAAAAATGAAAGATTATGGCTAGAAATAGTAATAATAAGGTTTTGAATACTGTACAGAGTTCCATGCTGAACAACCTGTTTAGTTAGGACGGTTTCCTGAAACGGGAACTTTTACATATATTGTATTACTAAACTATACCTGTAATTTTAGCGTTGAGATTTTAATAATCTTATAGGCGTCCGAGCTGATAGCGAACCTGCAATCAGGAATACATATATTATTATACGTGAATAATCTTTATATGACGCGGTGGTCATTTGTCCTTACATCTATTAAAATAATAATAATTATTAGTGCATTGTTTTATAGCGTAGGCTGGTAATGATTAATGGTGGGTACCTTTCCGTCCCAGTGTCTGATGGTATGGTTGCTTTCCCATACGTTTACTACATATTGAATATAGGTGAAGAAACATTCTTCGCATTTAGTTACGGGTTCGATTTTATAACAAGCATAGCGACAGTTGAGGCATGGAATAGGAGGTGCAGTTTCACAAACAAGAACGTGATAATTGCGGATGTCCTTAGGTACGGATCGGGTTCTTCGCGTGATGCGACAGGTTTGGCAATAGTTATCATAAATAGTGCTTTTATAGCATCTAGCTCTGTGTATGTTAGGAAAGAATTCTATCATTTTCTGTATTAAAGGGAATCTCTGTAACAGGGTGTGGAGTTCAACAATATTAGGGTGTTCGTAGTACGTGTTAGAAGCTGTTGCGTTGTGATCGCATGGATTGTTGGAAGACATTTTTTTTTTTTTTTTTTTTTTTAAGTTTAAACAACTAGAGGTGGTTAAAAGGGTAGTTCTTGATTTATGCTCATTAAATAACTAGTGCAAATTATACAACTTCGTATTGGTTTGGAAACTGTTAGGAGCTCGGAACATACAGAACACTGTGGTTCAGGGTAACCTAATCCAATCACAACGGCGTGAGTATACCGTGCTTGGTAAAAGGAACGTGCGGCTAGATCGAGATTTGAATAACAATTCGTGCAACGTGCAGAATAAGTGACTACGTTACGATATCCATATACCTTTACGCAGCTTGCGAATGCGAATATCTGATGTAGCGAGGAGCTTGTAGTTTGTCCTGGATAGACTGGTTGGCGATGCCAACACATCTGAAACCCAAAATTAGAGATACTGTTTTTCAACCTGGTTCTATATGTGCTAATTTTAACTTATCGATATGGACAATCCGTGGTTTATGGTCGATTAGGATTTTGGCGTTGTTGAAAGGTAGGATCTCTATTATTTCGTAGGGTCCTACGTAATGTGCTGAAAATTTTCCTTTCTTCGGTTCCTTTAGTAAGAAAACATAATCTCTTATCTTAAACTGTCGAGAATTTATACGTTGGTCATAATAGTATTTGCTTCTTTCTTTGGCTCTAATAAGATTTTGTCGCGCTTCTTCGCGGATATCATATAGTTTGTTGAACAAAGTGTTTATGTATTCTTGATAAGTAGGTTCTAGAGGTTCTTCAATAGGTTGATACGCGGATGGCAATCTGGCTAGTCGTCCGAATATTAGTTCGTATGGTGAAAATTTTGTTCCTTTGTGGACGCTTGTATTGTAGGAGAACATGGCGAGTTTAATGTATTTGTCCCAATTATCTTCTTTATCGATTTGTGTTTTTAAATATTCTATTAATACGTGATGTGACCGTTCTATAGATCCATTTGATTGAGGATGATAAGCAGTGGTTTTAAAATGCTGAATATTGAATTTCTTTGTTAGGATACGTATTAAAGTTGATAAAAAATTAGTACCTTGATCGGTAAGGATAGCCTTGGGAGTTCCATAAATGCAAATAAATTCTTTCGTAAAAGCGTCGGCTATCGTTAATGAAATGGCTTCTTTTAATGGTACTGCTATGGAGTACTTTGTTAATAAATCTTGCATGGTTAAAATATATTTATTTCCGTTATTCGTGATAGGAAATGGCCCTACTATGTCTAGTGAAACTTTGTCAAAAGCTGTCCCGGGGTATCCGTAATAATCATTGGTTGCTTGGTTTTAACGCGCGTTAATTTCTTTAATTGACATTCGCGACATTTTTTAATGAATTCTTGAATATCTTGTTTCATTGTTCTCCAAAAATAATGAGGTCGAAGTCTATTAAATGTTTTCGTAACTCCTTTATGGCCACCGTATGCTGAAGCATGGTTTTCTGAAATTAATTTTACACGTTCCGTAGGGATAGGATTGCCAACTAGATTCTGGCAAATAGTTATATTTACGCGGGTGTCGTGGAAAAATCTTTTTAACTGGTTAACGATATAAGACCAGGGAATGTCATCGAATTTATGCGTTTTACTAATGCTAAAGGAAGTTAGTTGTAATTCGTTAACACAGTCTAATAAAAAGCGTATATAATTTTTCACAGTTCGCGGTTCTATAGACAGTCGATTGTTTGTTCTTATCGGGATTGATATTAAATTATTTAATTTGATTTTCTTTACGTTAACTCTTTCAAAATTGAGATTTTCGTATGTGGGTAAAAGATTTGCAGTGGAATAAAGTTCGACTCCCTTGTCGTAGGGTGATCCGTCTAGACTTATAAAAATTACGTGATTATCCTTTTGGTTTAATAAGTTGTCTCTTATTTCGCGTATTCTTACTTTAATCGGAATTACGGGAGAAGGTTGTATAATAGGTATAGTTTCAGGAACTGCTGGGTCTACGTAGTCATATTCTAAATTTGTATTTGACATATTTGCATAGTCGTGATTATCGTTATTAGGAATTGAACTTTCGTCATCTGAATCGGAATCGTTTTCGGTTATATTAACATAATTAGGATTATCAATATTGTTACTGCAGTAAGGGATTAAAGCATTTGTTTCAATTGATCTGACGGAAGGTCCTGGTCTGCTTGAAAATATGGATTCGTCGGATGATTCGTCATTGTCTGAAGCGAATATTGGTAGAACTAAATCAGTGGGTGGATTTCGCGATAAAGCATCGGCGTTGTTATTTAGTGATCCCTTTTTGTATTTAATTTCGTAATTGTATTCTGCTAGTTTAGTTTTCCACTTCCAGAGTCTGGAAGTTGGGTCTTTTATAGAATGTAGCCAAATTAAAGGTTTGTGATTTGTTATTATAGTAAAAGGTCTTCCGTATAAGTAGGGTCTGAAATGGCTAATACAATATATGATGGCTAGGCATTCTTTTTTGATCGTGGAATAATTTTGTTCCGCAGTGTTTAAAATTCGAGAAGTGTATGAGACAGGAAGATCTTTTCCTACCGGTCCCTGACTTAAAATTCCGCCTATGGCATACCCTGATGCGTCGGTAGTTAGTATAAAAGGTCTAGTAAAATCAGGATATTGGAGAATGGGATTTGAACATAACGAATGTTTCAAAGAGTTAAAAGCTTCTACTTGTTTTAATTACCAATTGAATATGCTATCCTTTTTCAATAAATCTGTTAATGGTTTTGCGACTTTAGAAAAGTTAGGTATAAATCTTCGGTAATATCCGGCTAAACCAAGGAATTGTTTTATGTTTTTCGGATTTTTTGGAGTTGGAAAGTGCATTATTGATTTTATTTTGTCCGGGTCTGGTTTGACTCCGTTCGCGCCTATTATATGGCCTAAATAAGCTACTTCGTGCTTTAGAAATTCGCACTTATCTGGCTGTAATTGTAAATTCGCGTTTCGTAATCTTTGCATTAATCTTTCACATTTGATTTCGTGTTCTCTTAATGATCGTGCGTAAATGACAATGTCGTCCATATAGACGAATAATTCGTTTTCTTGTAGTCCCGATAATACATTATCCATAAGTCTTTGGAAAGTAGCAGGTGCGTTTTTTAACCCTTGTGTGCGCACCCGGTTACCCGGGTGCCCACCACTGCTCATTTTTGCATGTAAGTGGATTAAAAATGAAAATTTCGCTTTGTACGCCCGGATCGTCGTTATTTAACTCATTTTTAAGCAAATGGTGCATTTGGAGATTTTTAAGAATTTTTTTAAGCATAAATAATTTAGTTTAGAGCATACATATGCCGCGGACGCACCCGGTTACCCGGGTACCCACCATAGAAAAATTCAATTTTGAGTGAACTATTAGCTTTTTTTATTAATTTATTTGATTTATGCACGTGAGATGAGTTGCGTAATGATAGAATATATGAAAATTTATGTAAAAAACAAAAAAAAACATTTATTTATTGCATTCTATGCTCTTGGCAAAAGTTATCGCATGTTCATCGCAAATAGGCCTATCACATTCGGAGCAGGCCTTTCGTGTTTTCCTTCTCTTCTTAATTGTTTGTTTGTAACAAATATGGCAGGAACCGATAACTTTCTTCCTTCCTGATGCATCTCGTTGAACTGACGGACCTGGATTAGCCTCCACTGGATTTACTGGCCGACCGATTACACTTTCAATAGCGATCTTGGTGCTATAATTTCTCATTATTTGCACGTTATGATATCGATCCTCAATCATTGGCGTTGCAAGTTCTTCGCTCAATTGGTGTAGAAATAACCGTCGCTGGTTGGTTTTTTTCGGCAGCATCTTATTATTTTCATAATAAATGAGGTAGGCAGCGAGTGAGGCAACGTCTAACATGTTGAAAAACATAACTACCGGCCATCTCAAAGTACGACGTTGTGTAGTGTATCTACTAATCATTTGGTCCATCGTGTCGACGCCAGCTTTATGTTTATTGTAATATGTGATAATATGGGGTTTCTTCTTAGCATCATCGTTCACAGCCATGTCGGAATGCATCGTTGATATTAGAATAACTGCTTCATTCTTCTTCGGTACGTAGGAGCACAGCGTTACTTTTTCGTGGAATCCAAACATAGTAGAGTATAGTTCTCTCGATTTATTTCGAGCCATCGCACTTGGAATGTAAGGTTTATTTTTCTTCAAAGTGCCAACTAAAGTTAACTTCCATGAAAGTAAATGTTTGGCAAGTGGTAAGGTTGTAAAATAATTATCCATGGTAATATTTCTACCACTGCCTCGGTACGCGGCTGCAAGTTCTTTTACTATTCTTTCTCCTTGATGTTTCTCTCGAACATTACCTGTTTTGCCTGTGTAAATGATGCCGTGCAAGGGATAGGCATTTTCAGCGTCGCAAATCCACCAAATCTTGATTCCATATTTGGCTGGTTTCGAAGGTATGTACTGCGTAAACTTTGTGCGACCGCGAAAAGGATAAAGTTGTTCATCGATCGTTAAATTCTCCGTCGGCTTGTACATCATAGATAAATTTGCGTTGAGCATTGTCCAGAGATCACGGATCGGAGCTGCTTTGTCCTCTTTTGCGCGTTGCTGGCGTGTATTGGCGTCGTCAAATCTAATAAAACGCATGATGTTTCGAAACCTATTGAGCCCCATTGTCGCTCGATAGAGTGGATATGAATTTGAATGCCACATAACACTTGTATGATCGATGTTAGAATTATTAACACCAGAGCAAATCAAAATGGCCATAAATGAGTACATTTCTTGTACAGTAACATGCTTCCATTCTCGCTTCGAATCTGGATGCGCTGCATTGAATGCTGCGTAGACTGACAAAGCCTTTTTATTTGTATGTCGAACGATAATATCTACCATATCTACTGTGAATATTTTCTTGAAAGTGTCGCTTATTGAAAGTGTTATGGTACTTCGATGAGGACCACTTTGCTGACGCACTACATTATGAGATGCAGTTTGATGTTGATGAAGCGGCGTTTTATTCCATACCGTTTTATCTTTCGCTATGTAAGCGCATAGTGTTTCCCCTACTGCTGCTTGATCCTCTCTTTCACTTTCTCCTTCCTCTCCCTCTTCTTCGCCATCTAAGCATATTAGACCAAACTAAATATTAGTTATGATTTTTTATTTCGCGCGGCAACAATTTATAACAATTTTATATACCTTCTTCGGAAGGTGCATCAATTTCCTGAGCAACTGGCATTTCTTGATTATCTACACCAGATTCATCGCTATCAAGAGCCTCACGCTCAGGCAAAATTTCATTTGGTAACCAGTCGCCATCGCTGTCAGACGCTTCGTCTGACGACTCGTCATCATCGTCTCCTAATATCGCGTTCAAATAAGCTTCTTTTTCCGTTTGATTCAATCTAAGATAAAATTCATGCATTATTTATTTTTTCAATAAAATAACAGAAAGAAATTAGAATTTTTAAATAAAGCACTGAAAAAAAACCATTGATATACATTTTGTTTTACCTTGCAAATTCAGTCCTCGATAATTCCTCCATGTCTCTACAGTATATTGCATAGGCTAGCCAAACGTTTCCGTTAACTGTAGCACGTCTGTGCATGCGAAGAACACGATTCGCACTGACTCACATCTATTCAGACCCTTCTTTAAATGTAAGGAGGGAAAACAGCTGGCTGCTTGGCAGCCTTAGTAACCGCGCGCTACCTGCGTCGACCTCGAAAATCCTGTTTTCTCTTACCTTTGTACGAGCTACAGCAAACCAATTTATTTACAAATGCTTCGGCCTCTCATTTTTTATGTTTATTTACTGAGATAAACGCTAAGGAAACCATTTCAATTGCATAAATATTGAAAAATTGAAAAATAAGAGGTGGGCACCGGGGTACCCGGGTGCGTCCGAACGTTGGTAAAGTTGGGTGCGTACACAAGGGTTAAACCGAATGGCATGCGCTTGAATTGATAATGCCCATATGGCGTAGAAAAAGCTGTTTTGTGTGCGTCTTTAGGTGACATAGAAATTTGGTAAAATCTGGAAGCTAAATCAAATATTGAAAAGTATTTGGCTGATCCTAATCGGTCAAGTATATCTGTTATATTAGGAAGAGGATAGGCGTCTCCTATAGTTTTTTCGTTTAATCCTCGATAATCTATAACCATACGCCAACGTTTATTGCCTTGTGAATCTGGTTTTTTCGGTACTATCCAGATTGGTGAGTTATACGGTGATGTGGAATATTCGACTAAATTATTATTCAATAATTCGCCGACTTGTTTATCGATTTCTTCTTTATGGACAGGGGGAAACCTGTATTGTTTATTGTGTATAGGAATTTCGTTAATAGTAGGAATGTAGTGTTGAGTTGCGTTTGTAGTTCCTAAAGGTTCGTTAGGCAGATGGAATCTATCTGAATGCTTAGTAAGAATTGACCTGACGTGATCAATTTCTTCGGGATTTAAATGTTCGAGTCTTAAAAGTTGTTCGACAGCGTGTGGTCGATCAAAGTTAGTAGAATTGTCGTTGGTCGAGAAAAGCCCTAGGGTTCTTGCACAATCGACGGAATTAGAAATTTCATCTCCCATTACCGGGGTCTCCCGACTCTCGGTAATATACTCTTCATTGCAAGACATTGAATGCCCTAAGGTTTCGATGTATCTTGCAGATTTATCTCCCATCTCTTCTTAGTCTTGGAATCGCACTGAATGACCTAAGGTTCCGGTGCGATTAGTATAATCTCCCATCTTCGTCGTTTCGTTTAAGTAATGTACGCCGTGCCCTAAGGTCTTCATACAATACATGGATTTGTCTCCCATCTCTTCTTCAGAAGGTACCGAATGCCCTAAGGTTTCGGTCCGATTAATGTATTCTCCCGTTTCTTCATCTTCATAAAGTACGTCGAGCCCTAAGGTCTTAGTACTCTCGTTAATATCTATAGATTCGCGAGATTCAAAATCATACATTTCTACTGACGGAATGTCGATTTTGAAATCCTCCTCGGTGGTATTAAATACCGGTATTTATGTTCTTCCGTTTGAATGAGTAATAAGTGCGTCTCCGAAGAACACCTTGTCAGCGAGGGTTTGTAAAGGTAAGTATCCAGTATGTCTTTCTGGATTAGAAATATAAATGCAACAAGGAGTAACAGTCCTTGCTTTGAGATGTAATTTTTCAACTTCATAGGTGATAAAAGGAATGATAATAGTGCCGTGATGAAGGCATCTATCTTTATAATTTATGATAATGCTTCTTTCTTTCAAGAAAGCGTTTCTTAAGATCCCGTCTTGGGGAATGCAAATGGAGTCTGATATTACATGGAATAAAGTAGGTTTGTCTAACAAGTGGATAGTTATGGAACCTAAAGTTACTATTGTTTCGGAGGAAATGCCTCGAATGGATATAATGTTTCCTTTATCTAGATTGATGTGAGGTGGTACGAATTGTTGTTTGATAAGATTTATGCCAGAGCCTGAATCAATCATAAAATTGTATTCATTGGATAAATGTGGGGATTTAAGTTTGATAGAAGGTAAGTCGTTGTGTTTAATCTCGTTATCTACACTGCAGATTCGAGTGGTGTTGTTGGAATTGATTGCTGTGTAAGGATCATGTTTGTTGGTTGGGTGCGTCCTGTCGGGGCTTTGCTTCGGCGGACGTCGAATTTTTCCGGAACGCTTTGGGGGTTTCCCGAATTAGCAAAGGAAGTACTGGGTTGAGCTTGATTTTGCTCGAGTGATCTTTTGTAAGCGAGTTTCCGGCATTCGCTCATGAAGTGATCGGAACTTTTACAGTAACGACAGATTTTAGTGGCTGGAAAATTTGGTCCGGGTCGACCAGGTATCAAAGGCTTAATGAAAGGAGCAGTAGTAGAAATATTATTGTTGCGCGGATTATTAATTATTGGAGGGTTATTATCATCGTTGTTCACGGTTGGTCTTGCCGTCGGGTAACTTATGTCGGCACGAGGTGAAGTATAAGCGCGATTAAAAACGGTAATTTTCTTTCGAAGATTTTCGGCTTCTAGGGTCTTGGATAATTGAATAGCTGAGACAATGCTTAGTTCGAAAGTATAAGGTCGTTCTAATTTCACGCGGATTAATAAATCGGAAGGTAATCCGTTAATAAAACTGTTAGTAACGCTTTTCTAAATTTTTTCGTTTACTCTAAGTTCCTTAAACGCTATTTGAAAAGCGCGCCAAGCCGGCCATGACTCCTAACTCCGTTCAATAACACAGCGCGGCGCTCCGTGCGCCTAACGATCTCCCACCACGGCTCCTGAGAGATCTCCTACTCCGGAGAGCTTCCCTCTCTCCCGGCCGCCGCAGGCCCGAGCCGCCGAAACGAAGGACCTCAGAGCAGTCCCGAATTTCGTCAGTTCTCTGCGCGACACCGAACAGTACAGTCGCACTTCTAAATTCTAACTCTAAGTCCAAATTCTAAATCTTAACTCTAATTCTAAAATTCTAACTCTAAGTATAATATCCTAACTCTAAAATCTAAATTCTAAGTCTAAATTCTAATTCTAAGTTCTAGTTTCGAATTCTGTACTGCTATACGAATAAATCAGTGTTTTCATGTGTGAAAACCAGTGTTCAGTACTCTTCAAAACTTCCACTCCCGTGATAAAACACGATAGCGCTTAAATCTGTCATACGGCGTTGAATTCAGAACAATTCAAAACTGTGTCTGGAGCGGACCACCGCTCATCACAGTTAGAATTAACATTCTCAGCAATTGCCAAAATAAGGAACTGATAGTGAGGTCCGCCGCATATCAACCTTCCTTATTTGAGTAATCATTCAGAGGATGCATCAAATTCAATATGCCTAAGACGCGACGCGCAGGAAAGAAGAATCAATTACGAAAACTAAACCGACTTTATCGTGAATCAGCGACCGAGGAATATTCTCAATTCCTCGGAGTGGAATATCAAACCGATCCTGAATACGAGAACATTTTTAACATTAAAAATAATAACAACGACGAACTCCTACCGTGGAGGTGCATACCAATAACTTTCCGACCACGACGCCTGCCGCCGCCGAACATCCCAGTGAACGACCCTCGCCGCACGCACTACCTCCAAGTACGAGCCGACACGATCAAGAAAGTGCTACTAAAGGTAAGTGAAATTCACGTTAACCTAAGGAATCGCGCGTGTTAGCAAATTCAGAAACGCTTCTACCACGTGGAAGAGAACATTCTAGAAAAATCTCCGACGCATTTTTTCTCTTTTCCATCGTCACTGCGGAAGCTATAAAAAAAAGGGTCGGGCTATAAAACTAGGGTCGACCACCACACGCGGTGCAACCCTCAAAATTCTAACACGGAAAAACGCAAATAGTTCAATCTCTTAAAAATCTTTGTGTCTCAAGAAATAACTTCGTAAATCCGTACAACAAAGTAGTCATTTAAACAATAATCAATTGAGAACACTCTCGATTTACCGACGTTACCGACAATATACCGACATACGTTCTTTTACCAACATTACCAACGATATACCGACATACGTTCTTTTACCGACGTTACCGACATACGTTCTTTTATCGACATTACCGACGATATACCGACATACGTTCTTTTACCGACGTTATCGACAATATACCGACATACGTTCTTTTACCAACATTACCGACTATATACCGACATACGTTCTTATACCGACATTACCAACAATATACCGACGTACGTTCTTTTACCAACTGGTTATCGACACCTTACTGGCACCTTACCAGTGTTTTACTGAGCAATTACCGACGGTTTTACCGACGACTACTGACTTCTCGATTACTGCCGGGTTCACCAAAGATCTACGAGCAAATGACGCATTATCAATTCGATTACGCAACAAGCACAAATGTGCCTACTCACCCTTAGAGGCATAACCCCTCCTACAGAAATTAATCTTTTTGTACCGTTTGAACCCTTATTCTATTGCCAAATTGGTATCGGGTACATCCACTTCGAGACTAAGGCAGCCCTCTGCATTTCATGCTACTCCACCTTACCTAGAGTCTCGAAACTACTTTGGACAAAGATTCGGAAGCATACTTTAATCATAGGCGGAACACCCACTGGAATAAATTGCGGGGTCTGCAACTTCCGACTTACCCTCACGCGAATTGGTGATTTGTGCGAGCTTTGCCAGTCTACGTACGAAGATTACTTACGCAACCCCAACGACGTTTCGCATAGAGCAATCGACGAAGCTATCTTTATTACAGTAGAGTCACAGGTAGGTCCCACGCAATAATCCGATCACCTCAGTTCCAGCGCGAATAACCTCAGATCGCGGGTATCCCCGGGGAGAATCGCATAGATTCGCGTACCCGTAATAGCGATCGTGTCTCGTGGAAAAAGCCGAGCTCTGCATTCAAATTTTCGCAGCCGCGACCCCACGAGACGTAACATAGGCGATGCTTTACTGACCGACATATAACACAAACGAATCCCCCAATACCGATCACCGACGTTAAGGACGGAACTACTAACTTACCTACCCAAGATAAGATCAACCGATGGTAAAACAGAGACTTGACCTACCAACCACAGATGAAACTTGGCCATTAATGGCAAAATAAAAAATTATCTAGCCGACTAACAATAAGACATGAATTTACCATACTAATTAACGACCCACTTAATCGATCATCAATACCATATAACCGGTCAGGTAGCAAAATACTTTACCGACAGTCGACGATGTACGAAATTGTCCACAAGTAATTTTGTCCAGCAGTATCATTGTCCAAAAATGACTAAGTAAAAAGGAATCGACATACTCT